AAGCTTAGGCTCTGCGTCGCGATCGTTTCCATAGAAACAGAATTGTCACACGTTCTGAACGTCACCCTATATCGTGCATTTGAAATAAGAATGGCAGATGTCATTAGAATGCACAGTCATCTGTTTCACTTTATCTACCCTAACGGTTAAAGTGATCACTTTATCTATCCTTGCGGTTAAAGAACGGCTTAGCCAACTCGTTCCAACCTATTAAAATGTCAACTTCACATATGCTATAAAATAAATGATGTTAAACACTTTAGTCGGGTCTCATGATTTCGGAGAGTTATCGTCGAATTTTGAAGAATATTATCCAGCATCATCGATTTTTGTAAAAATGTAGCATTTGTCGACTTCTATCGAGATTAAAGATTTCTTAGGCCCCGTCGAGTGCTGATTTCAGAATTTCAAGATTTCAAGAGTTCCAGTTTCCGAGGTTTCGAGGTGTCGAGACTTCGAAACTTCGGGACTTTCAGACTTCAACATTTCAAGGCTTCAAGGATCCAAGGATTCAAAACTTCAAGACTTCCAGGCTTCAAGACTTGAAGACGACAGAATAAAGATTATTATTATTATTAAAATGAGAAATCTTGAGAAATTTTGACAAATCTTGGGAAATCTTGAGCAACCTTGAAAAATCTTGAGATATTTTGAAAAATCTTGATAAATCTTAATAAATCTTGAGAAATCGTGGGAAATCCTGAGAAATGTTGAGCAATCTTGAGAAATTTTGAGAAACCTTGAAATCTTGAAGTCTTGAGGTCTTGAATCTTGAGGTCTTGAAACTTGAAGTCTATAAGCCTTGAAGTCTCGAGGTCTTGAAATCTCGAAATCCTGAAATCTCGAAATCCGAAAATCTTGAAATCTCGAAATCCGGAAATCTCGAAATTTTGATTGAAATTTTGAAATTTCGAAATCCCGAAATCTTGAAATCTTGAAGTTTTGAAATTTGGTCTCGATATCTGGAAGTTTCTAAATGTAAGACGTTGAAGTTCTCAAATTTTTAAGGTAATATTCACCCGGTATGTTAGATAATAATTTGCTGTATTGTGTGCTTCATACTAGATGTTAGACCACTCCATAATGTAACAAGTCGACAGAATAAAGATTATTATTATTATTATTAAAATCTTGAGAAATTTTTGGAAATCCTAAGAAATCTTGATAAATCTTGAGAAAGCTTGAGAAATATTAAGCAATTTTGAGAAATCTTGTGAAATCCTGAGAAATCTTGAGTAAACTTGAAAAACCTTGAGAAATCTTGAGAAATTTTGACAAATCTTCCAAAATCCTGAGAAATCTTGAGCAACCTTGAAAAATGTTGAAAAATCTTGATGAATCTTGATAAATTTTGATAAATTTTGCTAAATCTTGAGAAAACTTGAGAAATCTTGGGAAATCCTGAGAAATCTTGAGAAATCTGGAGAAATTCTGAGGAATCTTGAGCAATCTTGAGAAATCTTGGGAAATCCTGAGAAATATTGAGCAATCTTGAGAAATTTTGAGAAATCGTGAGATACCTTGGGTAATCTTGAGAAATCTTGAGAAATCTTGAGAAATTTTAATAAAACTTGGGAAATCTTGAGAAGTCTTGGGAAATCCTGAGAAATCTTGTGCAATTTTGAGAAATCTTAAGAAACCTTGAAATCTTGAAGTCTTGGTGTTTTGAAGTCTTGCAGTCTTGAGAAGTTTTGAGAAGTCTTGAGAAGCCTTGAGAAGTCCTGAGAATCTTGAAAAATCTTGGGAAATTTTGAAGAATCTTGAGCGAACTTCAGAAATCTTGTAAATCTTGGGCAATCCTGAGAAATATTGAGCAATCTTGAGAAATCTGGAGACATTTTGAGAAATCGTGAGATACCTTGAAATCTTGTAGTCTTGAAGTCTTCAGAAGCTTTGAGAAGTCTTGAGAAGTCTGAGAAGTCCTGAGAAGACCTGAGAAGTCCTGAGAGGTCTTGAGAAATCTTGAGAGATTTTGATAAATCTTAATAAAGCTAAATAAAACTTGAGAAATCTTGTGAAATCTTGAAAAATCTTGATAAATTTTGATAAAACTTGATAAATGTTGATGAATTTTAATAAATCCTGAAAAATCTTGGGAAATCTTGAGAAATCTTGAGGTCTTGAGAAGTTTTAGAAACCTTGAGAAATCTTGATAAATCTTAATAAATCTTGAAAAATCTTGAGAAAACTTGAGAAATTTTAAGAAATCTTGAGAAATCCTGAAATCTTGAAGTCTTGTAGTCTTGAAGTCTTGAAGTAATGAAATCTTGAAATCTTGAAGTCTTGAAGTCTTGAAGTAATGAAGTCTATAATCTTGAAGTCTTGAAAAGTCTTGAGAAATCCTGAGAAGACATGTGAAGTCCCGAGAGGTCTTGAGAAATCTTGATAAATCTTAATAAACCCTGAAAAATCTTGGGAAATCTTAAGAAATTTTCAGAAAAGAAATCTTGAGAAATCTTGGGAAATTCTGAGAAGTCTTGAATCTTGAAGTCTTGGGAAGTCTTGAGAAGTCGAGAAATCTTAAAAGATCTTGATAAATCTAGTAAAATCTTGGGAAATCTTAAGAAATCTTCAGAAAAGAAATCCTGAGAAATCTTGAGAAATCTTGAGGAATCTTGAGAAATCTGGAGAAATCCTGAGAAATCTTGTTCAATCTTTGAGAAATCTGGAGGAATCTTGGGAAATCCTGAGAAATCTTAAGCAATCTTGAGAAATCTGGAAAAACTTTGAGAAATCTTGAAAAATCTTAAGATATCTTGATAAATCTTGATAAATTTTGAGAAATCTTGGACAATCTTGAGAAATCTGGAGAAATCTTGAGAGATCTTGAGCAATCTTGGGAAATCCTGAGAACTCTTGAAATATCTGAGAAATATTGAGAAATCTTGAGAGATCTTGAGAAATATTGAGCAACTTTGATAAATCATGAAAATCTTGAGAAATTTTGAAAAATCTTGATGAATCTGATAAATTTTAATAAACTTGAGAGATCTTGAGAAATCATGAAAAATTTTAAGATATCTTGATAAATCTTGAAAAACTTTGAGAAATCTTGAGCAACCTTAAAAATCTTGAGAAATCTTAAAAATCTTGAAATATCTTAAGAAATATTGAGAGATCTTGAAAATCTTGAGAAATCTTTATGAATCTTGATAGATCTTGATAAATTTTAATAAACCTTGAGAAAACTTGAGAAATCTTGAGAAATCTTGGGAAATCCTGAGAACTCTTGAGGAATCTTGTACAATCTTGAGAAATATTGAGAAATCTTGATAAATTATGAGAAATCTTTTGAAATCGAGCAATCTGGGGAAATCTAGAGGAGAGATTTTGAGAAGTCTTCATAAATATTAAGATATCTTGATAAATTTTAATAAATTTTGGGAAAACTTGAGCAATCTTGGTAAATCCTAAGAAATCTTGAGCAATCTTGAGAAATCTTGAGAAATCCTGAGAAATCTTGAGAAACCTTGAAATCTTGGTGTCTTGTTGTCTCACAGTCTTGAGAAATCTGGAAATCTCGAAATGTTGATTGAAACCTTGAAATCTCGAAATCTTTTGAAGTTTTAAAATTTGGTATTGAATCTGAAAGTTCCTAAATGTAAGACGTTGAAGTTCTTCTTTGCTTCTCACCTTCCCAGTTTCTTTCCTTCTGAATTTTCTGAAATCTCGAGAAATCTTGAGAAAACGAGAAATTTTGGGAAATCCTGTGAAATCTTGAAACTTGAAGTCTTGAGAAATCTTAAAGTCTTCTAGCCTTGAAGCCTTGTAGTCTCGAAGTCTTGTAGTCTTGAAGTCCTGAGAGGTCTTGAGAAATCTTAAGAAATATAAATATAAACCCTGAACAATCTTGGGAAATCTTGAGACATATTGAGAAAACGAGAAATCTTGGGAAATCCTGTGAAATCTTGAAACTTGAAGTCTTGAGAAGTCTTGAGAACTCTTGAAATCTAGAAGTCTTCAAGTCTTGTAGTCTTGACAAGTCTTGAGAAGCCCTAAGAAGACCTGAGAAGTCTTGAGAAATGTTGAGAAATCTTGAGAGATCTTGATAAATTTTGATAAAACTTGATAAATCTTAATAAACCTTGAAAAATCTTGGGAAATCTTGAGAAAACGAAAAATTTTGGGAAATCCTGTGAAATCTTGAAACTTGAAGTCTTGAGAAATCTTGAAATCTCGAAATCCGGAAATTTTAAAAATGTCGGGAAATCTGATAGTTCCCAAATGTAAGGAGTTGAAGTTCTCAAATTTTTAAGGTTTGAAATTTAACCAAAATCAAGCAAATTCAGTTATAGCCAAAGATATTCGGCAAATTTCGAAGAACTTCGCACGTTCTCGTATTCGGATCTTCTCCAAGTTTCTCGGCTTCTCAGATTGTCTTGACCTCTCGGCATCTCAGATTCGCTCGACTTCGCAACTATAGACCAAACGGCGGCGACCTCGGGGATTCCCATAGAAAGATGGGAAGAGAGGAGCAGAGACAAACACCAAATGAAGAAAGAAAGCACACGAGTAGGTACTGGAGGTGGGGAAAGAATCAGATATAAGCACAAGCAGCCCAGAGGAGGAGGAGGAGGAGGAGACAGAAAGAGAGACAAGGGAAGGAGAACACCCAGACAACCCCCCAATCCACAAAATCCACAACATTGTTTGGCATATGTCGCGGCCCAGCGTAATGGCAACAAAAGTGGTGGAGATGCACCACTGTTACTACCTACCAGGGACACATCCCCACGACAGTTGACTAAATTCTGGGAGAGGCGGCTACGCCAGGCATACGCCAAAGTATCAAGCTCCCGAATTCTGGCACTAACAAATATCTAAATGCTAGTTTCAGAATCTTTGGAATTTAGAGCAGTTCAAATCGAATCCGTTCCTACACCGATCGGATCTTCGCGTCTGATTGGTTAGGCGCCATAGGGGCCGCCTATCTCCGAAACCTAGCGCAAAGTTGTAAAAGTTTGCTTTTTTGTAGGTACAATTTCACCATCGCCGAGATTTAAGGATTTCGTAAAACAAACGTAAAAGTTGTCTCTTATTGCGTTAGAGTATGTGTGTGTTGATCAAACAAAAATGTTTTTCAGATTTCAGATTTTTCGGTATAAATGCAAAAACACTATCCCAAGAAATTGTGTTCTCTCCAAAAACCTTCGAGATGCTTAACGTGCTTGTTGCGGTCACTTTCGTTTCTTTGGCCATCGGTAAGGAACTCACTCGCCAGCTGATTCAATATCTCCGCCAATTGTAGGCCTAGGCCAGACAACCGACATGTGCGCCACGTTGGCTCCATTTTACAAGACCTTCGGTTGCGTCAAGCCGTGCCTGAACGCCCAAAGGTACAGTTGCTATGTTTCGCCGATTAAGAAATATTACAAGATGGACAAATGCTACTTCCAAGGGGATGGAAAGTATTACAGCAATGGTGCCACACTTCCAGTCAAATATCACAATGGGGACTCCCAATTGTGTTCGTTCCGGTGCTACGTTGGTGACCAAAGCTCCTTTGGGTGAGCTTACGTGTCAGCAGCAGCGCACTAAGTGTAAACAAATTCCTTTCACAGGCCAGTCTTCTTACGCGTGAAAGATACCTGTGTTGCCACTGACAAACGTAATACGCAAAATATTCGCTTAACGTAGGTACCAAAATGATTCTTTTCAGAGGCTCCGCTACCCTGTTATTCTTCAACTCTGAACGAAATGGATTACTTCTACTCCGATTTTCTTCCCGTGTTCGCGAAGGGCCAACCGTGTCCGACAAAGTGGATCTACTCGAACTGTAAGTCAATCATGAGTACATTCCGCATATTTACCAACGCATTTCAGTTCCCAGTGTGACCTCGGACGATTGTTCGGCGGATCCGTGTAAGTGCACCTTTATATTATAGCAATTTGGTAGGCTTCGAATGCTCACGAATTTTCAGACGGGTGCTGTACATTTAACAAGGGCGCCACCACGTTGAAAGTTGGACGCAATTTTACGGTCGCCCCGAATACACTCTGCAAATGTAACTGTCCTCCGTTTGTGGAGTGTATGGAACAGTTGAAATTGATTGCTGAGTGAAGCAAAGCGGAACAAGATCACAAGCATGTCAGTGATTAAATTAAGATTAATAATAAAAATAATGTTCTGAGTGAGTTATTTATAATCCCTTATTACCTAAGTAGCTGTCAGATATAAAATGAGTTTTGCCACGTTTTCGTAAAATTCACGCTGACACTTGGGTTACGTAATATCGAGCATTACTTGGAATTTCGTTTTCGGTTCCATTTCATCAGACCTAATTAAGGGTGATCCAGTATCCCAAGGTTGGACGAGTCAAGGCCTCAAGGGGTAGTTTTAGACGCTGTATGATTAAGATAAAGTACAGGGTGGCCAAATAAGAATGCTAGGTACTGTACCTGGGAACCTGTCCATCGTAGAGGCTTGCGGTAAAAAAATTCATTACTAAAACGGCCACGAGAAAAAGTAGCTAAATAAGGCCTAAACAAGCTCGCGAAAACCGCATCTCGATATCTTGTTCCTAACCTAAAATTTAAACCAAAGAAAATTTTATACCCTCAAAATTTTATATATATATATATATATATATATATATATATATATATATGTGTGAGAGTGTGTGTGTGTGTGTGTTTTCGCGAGTTTGTTTAGGCATCATTTAGCTACTTTTTTATGAAAAAAAAATCAAAACAATGCATTTAATTTTTTTGAGAAAATTAACCATTTCTGTCGGAATGTCGAAAAAAGCCCTCAAGCGGTGATATGTGCAACTAACAAAACTTCAAATAGTATAATATTTGTAGCTGAAGAATAGCTCTTTTGAACTAACCCGAGTTTGTTTAAATCGGCTCAGCCGTTTCGGAGATACAGGGTGTTCTTTTCGGAAACTTTTGAATACCCCCCACCACTTCATTTTTAGAGATACAGGAAAAATTGTCAAACAAAAATTGTTCAGATTATCGTCGACTTCACAGACCGGGCATTTTTTTGTTAGGTTAATATAGCGGAATTCACAGAAACATCACTTTTTTTAGATTCTAGATTGCAGTTATGCCCCCTAGCGGTCAAACTTAAAAATATTTTCCAGGTTTTTCTCGTGGCCATTTTAGTAATAAATTTTTTTACCGCAAGCCTCTACGATGGATAGATTCTCAGATACAGTACCTCGCAATCTTAGTTGGCCACCCTGTACAATTGTTCGCAATGACGTTGGATTGGATGAGCCGTGTTGACTAATTGTAGGTGTGCTCGTCCGTTACAAGAGCCTCCCGCAGCGACAGCAAATCTCGTTTTTTTGCTACTCAATGACTTTGTCAGTTAAGATAAAAACAACTGACTTTTAATAATTAAAAAATGTGCTACTGCTTGCGTTTTGTCCGTCCGTCCGTCTGTGAACTGCTTTTAGGGGAATGGTCCTAGAACCTTGGATTTTTTTTGGAATACGTAGCTAATTTCTTGAAAGTGTCATCAAATTTTGCTGTCTGTGCTGCGCGTAACTTTTACATGCGACAACTAATTATTGGTCTCAGATCTGGTATACGCATGCCTTTAGTGGTGGCAAGTTTAATAATTAGTGAAAATAGGGGAGGGGGAGTGAAGAGTGAACACACGTTCTACCCTTCATTGTATTCTAATGAAAGGTCTCGGTCTCGCCGAAATGAATTAGTTTGTACAGGCTGAGTCAACGATTGCGCGGAGTAACTGAATGCCTGAAAATACGATTTTTCGATAGAGTGCTTTTGTATTATGATATGGTTGAATATTCTCCACATTTTAAAAATATTTGGAATTATACAGGGTGAGCCCACAAAGTAGGGCGCCCAAATGGTACATTTTTTTAAATAATATATTAATATATTAATAATATTTGAATGCATTTTTGAATTCTACGTGTAATTGTACGTTTTTTATTATATGGTTAATATCCGAAAAGCTATTAGTTTTAGAGATAATTCGATTTGTAAGAAAAATTGGGCATTTGCAAGCGTCAGTATATATTGTCAAAATTATTACTTAAATTTTGATTCCAGGTTTTATATCTTATCTTGAGTTAAGTAAAAGTCAAATAAATACATCTATTATGTAACATTAAAAAATAGCTTACAGGGTGTTTTTTGGTAGGTCCAAAGTTGCAAAACTTCATATTAAAAAATTTCACTTTTTTTAAATGGAGCACCCTGTATATTTTTCTGTCATCATTTAGCTCCTCCAAAAACCAGGTGCGGATTTAAAAGGGGGGCGCAGTGGACGTGCGCCCCCTCCTAGACAGTGGTAGTTACGCAGGTGGTCATCATGGGAATTTCGGAAACCATAGAAGATATAAAGATAGTCAAATTAGAGACAAGAAATTTGTTGATTTCGTTTTTATTTTTTTCTGATGTTATTTGAGCACATACAAAAAAAACATTTTCTCATTGTCACTTATTGAGTTTTACAAGAGACGTTGAGGCGTTTCATTTAGGAGAAATCATTATTAACTTTATCACTTTATATGGCCCAGGCCCGTAAAAGAAATAGATACTACTACATAAGAAATACTAGTCAGCCGTTTTCTCTATTATATACTTAAACACAACGACTGAGTTATGGAGACTTACGTTAAAACTAGATACTATGTTGAGTAGCATTTTTTACGAATAAAACGATGTCCGGCATACACAAAAGAAAACAAAAGTTAGAAACTGTTGGTTTCAACAAGATGGTGTACCTGCGCACAATGCCCCAATCGTGTAAGAATACCTATTGGAGTGGAGTGGAAAAAAATCGATTTGCGCCGACAAAAAGAAAGCTCCACTTTGTGATTTAGACATTTTCTGGTTTGTTCTTTTCTTAGTTTATGAAGAATTAGTTATTTGCCCAATGTATTATACCCAAAAGTGTTCTATTTTTATACGTATAATAAATGTTTTTTTTAAATATATTCACTTTAAAAATTGTATGCGCCCCTCCCTAGAACAAATCCTAAATCCGCCACTGCCAAAAACCTTCAACTTTTTATAATAATGTCCTATACCTATCTCTGATAGTTTTCGAAATATCTTGGTTTTCCTGGTTTTTATATTCTAATCTTAAATAAGATGTAATTGACATAATAGTGAGGTGGCCGTGCAATAAAAAGGCAATTTTTATCTATCTCATCCAAAACGAAAATCATATCGATTAATTTATTTTTTTAAGTGCAAAAACTGGAGAATAACTAAAAACATTTGACTACAAAGCAAATTTAATTTAAGTACTAATGTCATCCAGTCAGTGATATTAGTTTCATTTTTTTTTCATATTCACCTCGTTATTATGTGAACTTATTTCAGATTAAAATATAAAAAGTAGAAAAACCAAGACACATTTGTTTATGTTTTTACTATCAAACTTATTCTCCAGTTTTTGTAGACTTAAATGGATTATTAGAAAAATGAATTAATAAATATGATTTTAGCTTTGAACGAGGCAGATAAAAATTGCCTTTTTTTGTATGGCCACCTCGCTACTATGTAAATTACATATAACTTCCTTAAGATTAGAATATAAAAACCAGGATAACCAAGATATTTTGAAAAATATCAGAGATACGTATAGGACCTTATCAAAAATTGATGGTTTTTAGAAGAGCCAAAAGATGACAGAAAAATATACAGGGCGATCCATTAAAAAAAAGTGAAATTTTGCAACTCTGGATCTAGAAAAAAACACCCTGTAAGCTATTTTTTTAATGTTTCATAGTAGATGTATTTGTTTGACTTTTACTTAACCCATGATATGATATAAAACCTGGAATCAAAATTTAAGTAATAATTTTGACAATATACTGACGCTTGCTAAAGCTCAATTTTTCTCAAAAATCGAATTTATCTTTAAAACTATTAGCTTTTCGGATAATAACCATATAATAAAAAAGACGTACAATTACACATAGAATAAAAAAATGCATTCAAACACAGGGGGTTCTATTTAAAAAAATGTACCATTTGGGCACCCTACTTTGTGGGCGCACCCTGTATAATTCCAAATATTTTTAAAATGTGAAGAATATTCAGCCATATCATAATACAAAAGCACTCTATCGAAAAAACTTATCTTCAAGGCATTATGTTACTCCGCGCAATCGTTGACCTCGCCCTGTACAAACGATAACTTTCTTGCGCGACTCCTTTTCGAGACAAGTAGGTGGTCAGAACGGAGTCCCGGAGGAGTGCACTCTCAAAGGGCAGAAAGAATGCCTAGACGAGACGGACCTACCGGCGATGTAATAACTTAATCATGAGTATCTGAAAAATGTTGGAGGAAGAAATCTACAAAGGGAAAATGCAATAATTCGGAGAACTTCTCTAAGGGCTTGATTCTTTTTGCATTATATAGCGTAGATATTTAAAATGTTTTTAACCAAAATCGTCCTGAAACATTCATTTATTTCATACTGTCCGCTATACAGTACATTACATCATTTATTTGAGTCCGGAAAATGACCTATTACATCACAAGGCCGGAAAGTGTTGCGGAGCAACTGATAATTTTCTGACAGAAGAAACGTCAAATTTATTTAAGACGATAGCTATTACGCTGTACTAGTCACGAGCTGCAGTAAGTATACAGACTATAAAGGAGGTAAGTTCGCCCTTTATTTAGTCTTTGAGGATTACTTTGAAGACATTTATTCTCTAATTTCGTGTGGCCTTTAGCTGCAAACGTACCGATAACTCCGACACTTCCTAGGCCAGGTTAATCAGACTGCTGGAGATAATACTATCACTGTAAATTGGTCGATTCAATTTGGAAGGATTTTAATAACGGAACTCCTTGATTTTATCGCGTTCGTCGCTTCTCCACTTACCACTTTCCAAACTTCTCAATTTCCTGGATTCACCACTTTTCAGCTCGTTTTTGCAGATTCTTATTACCTTTTGAGCTTCCCGGTCTCCTCACCTCTCGGCATCTCAAATTCGCAGCTTCTCATCCTCTGAACTTCTTCCGGCGTTCGTATTTTGTCACTCTCTCAACTTCTCCATTTCTCGCCTCCTCTCCTTCTTCGCTTCTAGGCTATTTTGTTTCTTGGTTTCCTGAGTTCGCCGCTGCCAGCAAATTTCGAATTGCCAAAGTTTCCGAAACCCTGGCAGTTACAGTAGGCAGGGTAGATCAAACCGAATCCGTTCGCCAAGATGGCGTCAGACGATCTATACTCCATTCATTATAAGAAGGTAGTAGATGGCGCTGTGTTTGAAGACAAACACACACAGGAAAAATATAAAACGGCCCCAAATTATTGTAAAGTAGAAATATCCAGCACTGCAAACAGAAAAAAATCTTTGAAATTAATAGCTAATGACATTTCAACAGTTTAGTTGAGAACAGAAACTACCAGCTTGCAAAATTCGCTACTCGTTTTATGTTTCAGTGTAATACTGACTCGTGTGTAGTGTACTTAACCCCCAGGTTCTACGCTAACTTCACACTACAAGAACACGGAAATAAAATCAACCCGGCAACGTTTAAAAATGGCCACTCGAATGACTATTCCCTCCAAAATTAAACAAGATCCCGCTTAAATTTGAAAAGTGGCACGCGATAAAACATCTAAGGCAGGGCCCCATTACGTTAGTTGTGGACAATGCTTTGACCTGAAGCACAGTAGGGAAGGAACGTTAAATAAAACACTGAAATTGTCAAAAGTTTGTTTAATAATGATCGTAATTATTATGATTGTGAAAACCTGGAAATTTACTTGATGTACATTAATATAAACAAAGCAAGCAAAGCCAAAAGATGTCGTACTCTCGCAAAAATAACTGCTAAGGGTAAAAAGAGTACGACGTAAGAAAAACCTCGCAGTTTGATTGATACAGTCCAAAAGTTAATAAACAAAATATTTTGTAAAAATTTAAGCAGTAGTTAACAAAGATAGTAAATGCATATACACAGGTTGGTTACGCTCAAGGCTAAAAGCAAGTTTTTTTGGAACAATGGGTCAGGTAGTAGCAGGTACCTAAATTCTGAGAAAGGGTTAAGAGTACAGGATGTGACTCTTCTTTGGTGCAATAAAGTCCTTTTGTTAAAAGCAAGATGGAAAATTACATGGCCTTGTAGACAAATTTGACTAAAAACAAGATATGTGGAAATTATTGAATCGCCACTCATTTATCCCACATAGATTCTAAACTGAAGAGCTTTGATTAGCGTAATCTCGATCCTGCAAGATGGGTAGTCCGCCCCTGGTTTCGAACCTACAGTTGGATGTCAAAGACAATCACGGAATTAGGTGTCGTAACACAAATTTGACTACAGTTTTTACCACCCCCGTGACTGCTTCATTCACGGAGAAAATTGTTAGTAACAAACAACAAGTCAGTACAAACCTCAAACGAATCGGTAATTTCCACATAATAAAATAAAATGAACCACTTATATGAATGTAACTTCAGGGACAAGACGAAGTAATCAACATCAATAAACATAAATTAAGCAAAAATTACACCAAAAATGTAAACAATTACAAACAATAGCATAACGGTATCACACATATGATTCTGCATTGCGGTTAAACCAAGTAAATTTCAAAAACAGAGATTCAAACACAACAAATATAAAATGCGGCATACAAAACACAAATACGATATAAAGAAATGCAAAAATTACTACCTGCATTAAATAACACAAAATAACAACAAACATTTATGGAGCGACGCGTAACCACCGGTAATCCCCGTTCGTGCTGTCTAGGTGGCGCAGGCAGCTTTCCCCCACCCAGAAATTGCATGGTTGCCAACTCTCCAAAATGTATGTATTGTCGTAAGTTGTATATACAGGGTGGAACCTTTCACGTGTTTTAACCAATCACACTGAAGGTCAAAGTTTCCCTATGATTTCTACCGCTACCTTCTTAAAATGAATACAGTATACGTATCTAATTGGTTAGGGGCTATTGTTGAGTGGGTACGTTCACTATTTATTTAAGTAGATAAGGATGCGTGGAAATATGTTTGTGTTGATCAAACAGAAATGTTTTTCAGATATCAGACTTCATGGTATAATTTCTAAACATCTTCGAGATGCGTAACGTGCTTGTTGTGGCCACTTTCGTTTCATTGGTCATCGGTAAGGAACTCACTCGCCATTTGATTCAAATCTCCGCCAATTCTGACCAGACAACCGATTTGTGCGCCACGTTGGATCCATTTTACAAGACCTTCGGTTGCGCGAAGCTAGACCCTAACGCCCAAAGGTACAGTTGCCATGTTGCGCCGATTAAGGAATATTACAAGATGGACCAATGCTACTTCCAAGGGGATGGAAAGTATTACAGCAGTGGTGCCAAACTTCCACTCACATACCACAATGGGGACTTCCAGTTGTGTCCGTTCCAGTGCTACGTTGGTGACCAAGATGCCTTTGGGTGAGGTGACGCCTCGGCACACTAAGTATAAACAATTTCCTTTCACAGGCCAGTCTTCTACCGCACGTCAGACTGTGTTCCCACCGACCAAAGTAAAACCAAACACAAGTACATATTGACGTATTAACGTATCAAATTAATCCTTTTTAGAACCTCCACTACCCTGTTACACCTTAATTCTGAACGCAATGGATTACTTCTACTTCGATTTTCTTCCCGTGTTCGCGAAGGGCAAACCGTGTCCGACAAAGTGGATCTACTCGGACTGTAAGTCAATAATGTGAATATTCCACACGCTTACTAACGCATTTCAGTTCCCAATGTGACATCGGACGATTGTTCGGCAGATCCGTGTAAGTACCCCTTTACAGCAATTGGTAGGTTTCGAATGCTCACGAATTTTCAGACGGATGCTGTACATTTAACAAGGGCGCCACCACGTTGAAAGTTGGACGCAATTTTACGGTCGCCCCGAATACAGTCTGCAAATGTAACTGTCCTCCGTTTGTGGAGTGTATGGAACCGTTGAAATTGATTGCTGAATGAAGCAAAACGGAACAAGATCACAAGCATGTCAGTGATTAATTAATTGATTAATAATAAAAATAATGTTCTGAGTGAGTTATTTATAATCCCCTCAAGCAGACTTGGGTTAAGTAATATCGAGCATTACTTGGAATTTCGTTGTCGGTTCCATTTCATCAGACCTAATTAAGGGTGATCCAGTATCCCAAGGTTGGACGAATCAAGGGGTAGTTTTAGACACTGTACGATTAAGGTAAAGTACAATTTCTCGCTATGACTTTGGATTGGACGAGATGTGTTGACCAATTGCAGGTGTGCTCGTCCGTCACAGTTCCCCCATCTTCTGAAGAGCCTCCCGCGGAGCTTTAAGTGAGCACGTCGTTATTCCTCGGGAGCCGGTCCCGGTTGAACGTTGAAGACGACCACTGTATACAACCTCATTTTCGTAACGCCCGGTCCCAGGTGACGGAGGTTAACTAGGTACGTGCCGTTTTTGGAGACGATTGACTTCAGGAATCCAAACCTCGCGAAAACTTTGTGTTCTAATATGTTGGTGACCTCGGTGGCTTCTCGCGAATACCAAAATATGGCGGAACCCGGTGAGTGTGGTGGTGTACGGTCCCGTTCCCGAGAGATGTTGAGAAATCTTCACCAATATTGAGATATCTTGAGAAATCTTGAGATATTTTGAGAAATCTTGAGCAATATTGTGAAATCTTGAGATATCTTGAGAAATCTTGAGCAATATTGAGAAATCTTGAGCAATCTTGAGAATTCTTGAGAAATCTTGGGAAATCCTGAGAGATCTCGAGAAAACTTGTGAAATCCTGAGGAATCTTGAGATATCTTGAGAAATCGTAAGCAATATTGAGCAATCTTGAACAATATTGAGAAATCTTGAGCAATGTTGAGAAATCTTGAAAAATCTTGAGAAACCTTGAGAAATCGTAAGCAGTGTTGAGAAATCTTGAGCAATCTTGGGAGATCATGAGAAATATGCACTTATACCGGATGAATATTATAAAACCGAACCGCGCCGAACAACCTTGAGAAATATTGAAAAATCTTGAGAGATCTTGAGAAATCTTGAGCAATGTTGAGAAATCTTGAGCAATGTTGAGAAATCTTGAAAAATCTTGAGAAATCGTAAGCGGTGTGTTGAGTAATCTTGAGCAATCTTGAGAAATTTTGAAAAATCTAGAGAAACCTTAAGAAATCTTGAGCAATATTAAGAAATCTTGAACAATCTTGAGATATCATGGGAATTGAGAGATCTCGAGAAAACTTGTGAAATCCTGAGAAATCTTGTGATATCTTGAGAAATCTTGAGAAATAAAAAATTTTGAGCAATCTCGAGAAACCTTGAGATATCTTGGGAAATTTTGAGCAATCTTGAGAAATGTAAAAAAATCTTGAGAAATCTTGGGAGATCATGAGAAATATTGAGAAATCTACACATATCGGATGAATATTTGAAAACCGAACATAGGCAATTAACTGGGAAAAACGTTTTCTGAAGATCGATCAATCCCTATGTTAACTTACTGTTTATGGCTCCGACAAGTCGACAGAATAAAGATTATTATTATTATTAAAATCTTGTGCAATCTTGAGAAACCATGAGAAATCTTGGGAAATCCTGAGAGATCTTGAGAAACTTTGAAGAATTGTTGAGAAATCTTGATAAATCTGAATATGAATTCGAATACACCACTATGTCATAGGTAGACCATGGCGAAGTTCCTGAGAATGCCAGAGAGCATTTTTTGTGTTTAACTTCTGGTGGGCGGGTATCCCGATTTGAGATTCAGTGTGGGGAACATTATCCCTATCTTGTTCTGGGCCCTCGACAGGCTTGCGCCCAATTACAGAGTGACCCGCATACCTAATGCTTTTTAGAGGTGCCCCTGATTCAGTGCGATGTTACTATGTTCGATTGATTCGTTACTATTCCGTGAGGGAAGTACCTAATACAGTTTGAATTTGATTGTTCGCTGTATCTGTTACTTTCTGATTCGTGGCGCACTGCAGTTCTTGTGCGTTAGCTATACGAAGGGGGGCTCTCTTATTTGATGTTTCGATGTTTGTGTGTGTGAGTGGTTCATTCTGTCTCCGTGGAGTAGGTACGTAATACAGTTCGGTCTTTCGCTGTATCTGTTGCCTACTCGTCTCGTGCGGATTGCAGTTCTTGGCAATGCGAGATATTTAGAAGCCCTCTCATTAACATTTCCTCTATTTAAAATATGTTCAGCTTGAGCGATAATCGATTTTCACATGAATACTTGCTATTAGCCAATGGCATTCTCACATGTACTTTTCGTGTTAAATTAATTTATGTTAACTGAAGGCTGGAGTAGAGCTACACCATTTACATGTTTCCTATGTGCATGTAATTTATTATTTTACGAGTTGTTATCTCAATTGATTGTACATGTATTTTGATGTGTTTTTGTACTACATTGATTTATCATGTTTTCCACTGCATTTATGACGTCTCGTGTGTGTTGTTTTTATGAATTTGTTTAATTGTATTTGATTCGATTGTCTGATATGTATCATGCAATTTGAGATGTTTTATTTATGTGTACTTTCTCTTGCATTTCGTTACTGAAGGTGATTTATTTCATGTATTTGTGTGGTCTATGGCGGGGTTTTTGTCCCGTAGAAGGTTTCCCTGCTATGGTCTTGTGTGCGTAATATATTTATTTCTGGTCATTTCTTATGCGCAAAAGTTCCGTTTTTTATTTAATTCCCTTCCCCATTATGGTTGGTCTGGCAAATTCCAACCACCAGTTGGAACTCAACAATCAACAAGAATTGAAACATTTCTTGGACACTTCCAATCTCGTTCTGGTAGACTAAAGGCCTGGTTCTCCTCAGCGACAGCGGCAAACTAACCTTACATTTCTATTTCAAGAAAAGGAAGCACGTTTAATAAATAATAGCTTTATTTCATTGTACTTATCTCCAAAATACAAACAGACCCTACACATAATACAAACGGAAAGTTGCAAAATTCCAAAAAACAATTACGCGAAAGATACCGCCACAAAGTTACAGTGCTATTACAATAAATAGAAAATAGGATTTTGGATAAACAAATACATACAACAGTAGAATGTGTTTAATGGATATAGTTTAATTGGAATAATAATAGACGATAAGTAAACTACACATAAATAGCTCTACATAAAATACTTGCGACGTAATTGCTATCTACAGTGTGATAAGTGATCAAATCATTAACGGAACGTCGAAAATTATCGGAATTATCACAAAACACTTTGGGGTTTGCTTAACATCGACTTAAATATAAATTAAAACAAACCCTAGTCACTTAAAACGAAATAAGGGAATGGCTCTCGTGGTCTCCACTAAATTCCAGATAAAAATATAAAATATTAAATATAAATAACAAAATTCTCCTAGAAATTAATTTAAAACGGTCACTAATCGGCCGACTTGGAACTCTTTTTTTGGTGAATCCGCTTGTGGTAACTTTGAGCTAACGAATTCACTATCGAAACGACAAAGTACAATATCATCGCTATCACAAACTTTTCAAAGATCGAGCTCAGCAGGCTGCCCGAGTCGTGCGTGCCCGCCTGACCGTGCAGCTTCGACTTTTGATTGTCCAAAAACGCCTTGAACGGCTCCTGGAGTTTCGAGCCGATCACCGGCACAACGCTGAGCCACTCGAGCGCGGTTATGATTAGCGTCTCGTTAAAGGCGATTATCACAAATAGTGTCTGTATAAGCATCTTTATGACCGCTTTGCCGATGAGGGTCGCGCCAAAGAACGTCCAGAACGGCACCAGGAAGTGGCCGCAGGTGATGCCGGCCAAGTCGAAGAGCGGGTTCGGTATCTACGGGTCATAAATGTAGTAATTATTCATTTTTGACGGGGCAGATTTAAAATTGGTTATTTATTTTTAACTCCTATCTCTCGGTAAAGGAACACTTGATAATTTCCATCATAATGTATACTGGGGGGTATTCCATACCCCCCAGAGCTACGCTGACCCCCATAAAACGATAAGCGCTTTCATAATAGTTTTTGGAAAAATTATAGCAGATCCATTTTCTCTAAAAAAGTATTGCACAAAACGTAGCACGGGGGTGTCTGGGGAGTATGGAATACCCCCCAGCAGAGGAAGATTGAATGATCGTGACCCAAAAAAAACCCAAACTTCCTAGCAAAGAAACACATGATAATTTCCATCATAATGTATGCTGGGGGGTATTCCATACCCCCCAGACCCCCCGGTGTTAGGGTATCCCCCAGAAAACGTTTAGCCCTCAAGGCTTTCATAATAGTTTTTGGAAAAATTATAGCAGATCCATTTTTTCTAAAAAAGTATTGCACAAAACGTAGCACCGGGGTCTGGGGGGTATAGCAGAGGAAGATTGAATGATCATGACCCAAAAAAACCACAAACTTCCTAGCTAAGGAACACTTTAGGATAATTTCCGTCATGGGCGAGACTGGGGGGTATTCCATACCTGATATTTTGAATATAAAAAAATACAGGGGGATAACTTTTCGCGAGGTCAATTTTTCAAACTAAATATTGAAACGGTTTTGCCTAAAAACCGAACTTACACTTGCGCAGGCGAGAATCCCAAGGAAGCCGACCCTTTGGACGATGTGCTCGACCGTCAGCTTGCCGCGCTCGATCAGCGTGAGCTGTTCCTTGCTGTTCTCCTTGCGCTGCAACTCCTCGAACTCCCGCAGTTCGTCGTCGTCGTCCGGATCGAACCTAAACTCGGCGCGAATTTAGAGACGCCCGTTTTGCCGTCAAACTCGATAACCTTACCCTGACAGTCGCGCCGCTTTCGCCATAAAGTACGGCGGCAGTTCCCCGAGCGCCGTGCCCGCTCCCCAGCACATCGCCTCGATTCGCACTTTCGACATTATCGCTAGAATCGTGACCGCATACGAACTCGCCGTTTCCGGGCAGATGATTCTAAAAGAGTCATTTTGGAATTGAAATTTCAGAACACCCTGTATAATAACTGTATATGACTCAAATTGGTGAAACAATAGATACAGTGTGAATAACACCCTGTATACATCTTCAGTTGAAATGGAATGCTGAAATAAATATAGTAAGGGGAGGGGAGCGTACTGCTAAATAATAGCATTATAAGAGGATCTTACTTTCAAACGAACATTGTACAAAACACCCTGTATACTACATCATCATAAAATACCTTCTGGTGAAATGAAATTTGGATTAAAATGTATTCGTGATTCCAACATGTCGCAATGTCTATAGAACTTGTACAAGAACACCCTGTATACTCAACTGTATCATACATCAACAGTGCCTCAATTTCGCGGAAAATTCACGAATTGAAGTTTGGAATAAAAATACATTGAGATATACAGGCTGGTCAAGTTCGAGGTGCCATTTCTAAATGGAAATTGTACAAGAGCACACTGTATATTGCGCATCAGTTGAAATGGTTTGACATATACTGGTAGATGATTGGCATTGGTGCGAACCCTCTGTATACTGTATCACACTGCAGTTGAAATTTGGCGAAAGATATACAGGGTGTTCACTGACCTAATACCTACTCGTCTGGGTAAGGTGGTTCCGGAAAGTTGAGCGAGTTGCACTCGTACGCTGCCAGTGTGACCTTCGCGATGTGCGGTCCTAAATACAAAATGAACGTGTGCAGGCCGGTACCGAGCCCGACCGACGAGAGTATCCCCAAACCGGTCCAGTAGAGGCACCACACTAACTGTTTGTAAACTTCCTGAACGACGGTCTGATGCGGACCGTTCATTTTAGTAACTGTCGTTAATGCTACAATTGAGATCGCTAACGCTAATACGCTTTTCTTATATTCTAAAGTTCTGCAAACGGAGGTTAGTGCGAGTGCTTAAAGCGCGTGCGGGCTTACTTTTTTCCAAAAGTGTATAATAAGACAAAAATTTCTTTGGCAAAATACTCTAAGGTCCTAACTGGCTGCTTCCATATGACGATCTTTTCGCGCTCCTCGCGTTCGCGCTGCTTCTTCAGTCGCGTGTTCGAGTGCACGCTCTTCGCAGTTGCCGGTTGCGGGGTGGCGTTGCCGTTGGCGGCGCTCGCCGCGTTCTTCCTACTGTTCACTATCATTTTGTGCCCCAATCTTTGTAACTGGAAAAAGAGACGGCGGGTTAATGCAACTTCTATAAACTAAAAAATCGACTTTACACGTTGCATGCAACAATACTGGCTACTCGAGCTTGAAACAAAACGGAACGATAACATTTTCTGGCGGTAAAAGATAAGATTAGAAATTTCTATTCTATGAATAAATTGACGTCGTACTTAGTGATACAGTACTAACTAGGGACGGATTGGCAAACTAAGTATGACGTAATCACGTAGTAAATTACAACGAGCGCTCATATTGCACCTGATCTTAACTGTACCTAGTTACACAAAGTGTTAAGTAATGGCGTGTCGTAAGTTCAATTAGAGGTGAACAATTTTTCTGATTCTCCAAATCTACAAATAATGGTTTACGGGATGATATTCCAATTTCAAAAATTACAAAATGTTTGAAATCTGTGACCAGGATAGTTACAAAAATTCTTTGTAAGTGAAAGTTTCGAATTTCTGGTAAATATGTTGATGGACCAAAAAACTAAGGAGCTCCAAAACTCCTCAATAAATTCAGTGGCGATTTTAATAACAAATCTGATAGTCGCATTTAAATTTTGCGCTAAAAAGAACCAAATTTGATATTGATTTATGGTCACTCTCTTGTTTTGGGCTAATGCTAATATTCATAAATTTGGTGAGGGGCGGGGGGGGGGGGGGGGGGGGTTCAATCATACCCAGTAGATACAGAGTGGGCAGGGCGACCTCGATACAAGTGGATACTACGTTTTTACTAAAAAGATCAAAATTTGTTGAAGGGGGGGAAGGGGCTTAAAATGCTCCCTTAAACCGGTGAAGATACCTGAACTCATTAAAAGTACATGAAAATTCCACCAAAAACATCAAAAGTTGATATTTATAAATTTGTCAACTGGAAAGGGGGGGGGGGATTAAACATACTCAGTAGATCCAAAGTGGGTTTTTTAAATCAAATTTATTGAAGATGGGTCACATTTTTTCTGAAAAAATCAAACTTTCATTAAATTATAAATTTAACAACTTGGGGGGGGGGGGGTAACCTATTATGAAGATTATCTTTTTCTACATACTACCATAAGTTGTAGACGTAACAAAAAATTATCGAGCCACACTTTACTGGGAATCTTTCTGGGATGGGATGGGGGGGGGGGGGGGGTACTAACCGAGGCTACTATGAAAGTGTTAGGAGTAAAAGAGATTTCTAAATTTCGCAACTGGAAGGATTCAAAAAAACCTAATTTGATCGAGAGTTGGGATTTTACCTAAACCAAGCTGTTTGACCAATCTAAATGCCACATTTTTTTACAGCGGGAGGGGGGGTCACGGTGGGGATAACTAAACTGATTGAAGATGGATCAAATTTCATAGTGAAAAGCAAAATTTATCAATTTATCAATTGGGGGGAGGGGGTCGATTTCATTTAATGTGGATGAATTTTTTTTACTAAAAAGATCAAAATTTATAAAACCGCGATTTGAGAACTGGGAGCTTCAAAAAATCCTCCCTGGAGGTCAGAGAAAGGCATTTAAACCAAATTCACAGGTAAATTTTATAAAATTTCATTCAAAAAAAATTTCGAAATTTGAGTTTCACAAAATTCATCAAATTTTAAATTTGGCAACCAGAAAAGGAGGGGGCAAAAAGTGTTCAGTTTGTGTTAAAAAAGTCCAAATTTGATAATTTGTCAATTTGGCAATAGGAGCCGGGGGGGGGGGGGGCTGAAATCCCCACTAACTCTAATGGAGATTTTAATAACTAAACTCATTGAAACGATCAAACGTTTTACTAAAAAGACCAGAAATTGATAGTTATAAAATTGACAAGGAGGGAGGGGGGGAGTAATTATTGAGGGATTTGTATGCAGTAGGGATTAAGTAAACTCGCTTATCACATGTTGTACTCAAAGATTAAAATTTGACAGATTGATTTATTGGCAATTTGGGGGGGGGGGGGGGGCAATAGGTAGCTCCAGAGTAATTGTAACTGAATTTGTTGAATGTGGATCAATTTTTTTTACTCAAAAATAATTAAGAGCGAATGTATAAGAGATTTTTAATAACTGAGCTGGATGAAATTATTTATTAAAAATATGTTTGATAAATTTGTAATTTGTTAACTGCAAGAGGGGGGGGGGGGGCTTAAAAATTTTCCACTAAAGCCAGTGAAGATAACTAATACCTACTCATTAAACGTAGATGAACTTTTCACCAATTTGATATTTATAAATTTGTCAACTGAAAGGGGGGGGGGGGGAGAGTACATTAAATATTTCTCAGTAGATCCAGAGTGGGTCTTTTAATAACTAAACTCATGAAAAGTGGATACTAAAAAGATCCAAGTTTGATAATTTGAATTGCCATTGGGGCGGGGAAGGGGGGGGGGTCTTAAAAATCCTCACTAAATCCAGTGGAAATTGAAGGTAGAGCAAACTTTCTACTAAAATGATCAAAAATTGATAGATTTACACGTTTGACAACTTAAGGAGAGAGCGGGAAATTATCAATAGATCGTGAATGGCGATTTACATTGAATTACAAATTCGGCAACATGGGGGAGGGGGCCTTAAAAATCCTCGTTAAAATCAGAATGGGAATTTTAACTGAACTCGTTGAAGATGGGTCAAGTAACAAATTCAAAATTGGATAGTACTGATAGTAGTGGAGGGAGTGGGGATTCAAACAATAAATAAATCAAATTTGTTACTAAAAAATCAAAAATGGATATTTTTATCAGTTGGACAACTGAAAGGGAGGGGGGGGGGGGAATTCAAAATATCCTCAGTTATCAGTGGTAATTTTAATGACCAAACTAATTGAAAGTGGATCAACTATTTTACAAAAAAAAAATCAAAATTTGTGTTGGAAACATGAGGGGCGGGGGGTGGGTGGGGACGAGATTAATAACTAATCCAATTGAAAGTAGATCCATTTTTGTCATTTTGGCGGGGCGGAGGAGGGCTTGGAAAAAATCGTCGGTTGATTCAGGGTGGGGATTTTATTGATAACTGAAAGGGAAACTGCAAACACATCAAATCAAATTTGTTACTAAAAATCAAACATGGACATTTTTATAAATTGGACAACTGAAAAAGGAGGGGGGGGGGGTTCAAAATATAAAATATCCTCAGTTATCAGTGGTAATTTTATGACTAAATTTATTGAAAGTGGATCAAGTATTTTACAAAAAAAATCAAAGTTGGAAACATGAGGGGGCGGGAGGTGGGTGGGTAAGAGGGGAGGTTAAAAATTATCATTGAAGTTAGATCATTATTTTTATCGAGAAATCAAACATTGATATTAATAAATTCGGCAGCTGGAGGGAGAGGGGCTTAAAAAATCCTCAATAGATCCAAAATTGAGATTAATAACTAAACCAATTGAAAGTGGATCCATTTTTACAATTTTCGCAGAGGAGGACTTCGAAAAAATCGTCGGTAGATTTAGAGTGGGGATTGTAACTATTAAAAGTCGATAAAATGTTAATAATTTGATAACTGAAAGGGGAAGGGAGAGTAGCTTCAAAAACATCATATCAAATTTGTTACTAATAAAAAATGGATACTGTTATAAATTGAACAACTGAATTGGGGGGGGGGGGGGGGTCAAAATATCCTCAGTGATCAGTGTTAATTTTAATGACTAAACTTATTGAAAGCGGATCAACTATTTTACAAAAAAAAATAATAAAAATTTGTGTTGGAAACATGAGGGGGCGGGAGGTGGGTGGGGACGAGGGGGCTTAAAAATTCTCATTGAAGTTAGATCATTGTTTTTATCAACAAATCAAACATTGATATTTACAAATTCGGCAGCTGGAGGGAGAGGGGCTTTAAAAAATCACCAATAGATCCAACATTGAGATTAATAACTAATCCAATTGATAGTAGATCCATTTTTGTCATTTTGGCGGGGCGGAGGGCTTAGAAAAAATCGTCGGTTGATTCAGAGTGAGGATTTTATTGATAACTGAAAGGGAAAATCAAACATGGACATTTTTATAAATTGGACAACTGAAAAAGGGGGGGGGGGGGCAAAATATAATATATCCTCAGTTGTCAGTGGTAATTTTAATGACTAAATTTATTGAAAGTGGATCAAGTATATTACAAAAAAAATCAAAGTTGGAAACATGAGGAGGCGGGAGGTGGGTGGGTAAGAGGGTGGCTTAAAAATTATCATTGAAGTTAGATCATTGTTTTTATCGACAAATCAAACATTGATATTTATAAATTCGGCAGCTGGAGAGAGAGAGGCTTTAAAAAATCCTCAATAGATCCAAAATTGAGATTAATAACTAAGCCAATTGAAAGTGAATCCATTTTTACAATTTTCGCGGAGGAAGGCTTGGAAAAAATTGTTGGTTGATTCAGAGGGGGGATTTTAATTATTGATCAAATGTTAATAATTTGATAACTGAAAAAGAGGAAGGGAGAGTAACTTCAAAAAACATCAAATCAAATTTGTTAACTAAAAAAATCAAAAAATTGATGTTAATTTTTTATTTTTATAAATTGGACACCGAAATGGAGGGGGGGGGGGGGGGGGTGTCAAAATGTCCTGCGTGATCAGTGTTAATTTTAATGACTAAACTTATTGAAAGTGGATCAACTATTTTACTAAAAAAAAATCAAAATTTGAAAATGTTGGAAACATGAGGGGGCGGTGGATGGGGACGAGGAGGCTTAAAAATTCTCATTGAAGTTAGATCATTGTTTTTATCGACAAATCAAACATTGATATTTATAAATTCGGCAGCTGGAGAGAGAGGGGCTTTAAAAAATCCTCAATAGATCCAAAATTGAGATCAATAACTAAGCCAATTGAAAGTGAATCCATTTTTACAATTTTCGCGGAGGAGGGCTTGGAAAAAATTGTTGGTTGATTCAGAGGGGGGATTTCAATTACATTTAACTACACAAAGAATTATAAAAGGTGAATCAAATTTTGATTCAAATTGATATGTGACACGGGAGGGGGGGGAGGGGGATACAAATATCCTGGGTATCTATCACAGAAGGATTTTAATCAAACTCAATGAAGATGAATCAATTTTTTTACTGAAAAGGTCAAAATTTGATAGAATTATAAACTTGGTAAAGGGGGAGGGCAGAGAAAGGAATGAACCATTGATAAATTTTTTGTTCCACGGTTAAGAGATTTTATAAAATTTCAATTAAAAGAAGATTGAAATTGGCAAGGGACCCCAACAAATTCTTTGGAAGTCTAAGTTGAAGATTTCTATTACGAGCGTTCAAAAATTGTCAACACAGTCGCCAAAAAACACGCATGTGTGAACAGGAGCACAAGCCCTTGCAAATTTTTGAAAAAATTGATTTTAATTGCTTTTGTAACAGGCGATTAGACCAGGACAATATTATTGAACGCCTGTTACTGTAATCAACATTTTGTACTTTAAAAGACATTTTTCCAAAATTTTAGATGGGATATGTCAAAAATTTACAGATTACTGACAGTTAAAAAAAATGTGATACTGCCATACAGTATTATAGATGTAAATTCAGCGGAGGATCAAAATCAAAATTAAAGCAAATGACCATTCCCGGCACTTACAACATACCTCAATTAACATTCTGCAGTACGATGAAGTTGGTCTATTCCTAAAGTAAATGTAACATCAGCGGTTAGTATTGTTTAGTTAAAGTGTTAGCGTTAGAGCTGCATTTCAAAAGAAAAAAAAAATGACCCCGAAGTGAAATCAGCTACAGAAACTAGTGCAGCTGATTTCGCTTCGGAAGAGTGTTAAAAACAAATCATTCAGACCGTTGGACTGCTGCTACTTTCTCTCATCAATATTGAATAGCCGATATCAGATCACTCAATATTTGATATTGATTCCCTATGCACACAAGACTAAAAATATGTGGGACCTTTGACTAGAAGATTAATTTTAGAACAAACACTGTATGTCAATGTAAACAAACTCAGCTGATTGCTGCCAAAAATACGCAGACACATGCCACAACAAAATACAAGCTAGCGAGACACACAAAAAGCGAAACACATAAAGAGGCTCATCGTGCGTGTGTAGTACGTAACAAAGCTTAAGGCATACCAATTCGACTTTTGTGCCAGTCGTCTTTTGACCCCTCCTCCTACACTCGGCCTTTAACTGCTCTTTCGTTAGCGAAAGAAGATCGTCGGGAACTTTGTGTCCCCCCGTACTAGTAACGGTCGTTTGCGGTACGGCCCGATTTGTCAAATTAGTCACCGGTATCGAATTGTGCGAATTTCGAGATCTAATTCGCTTTCCCGCCATAACCTGAACACAATTGCATGCTGTTAGTAAATCGATCTGCAGAGGAACTCTCCAGATAGTCTCCGGCGCCAAATGTCATCATCCGGTTGCCATTCACATGTAAATACGCAAACGAATCTCGACGAAACAAAAAGGGTATAAATAAAGTTCTATAATTAAAAGCGTTGCGATACAAAAGGCATTGTTTGTAGTTCCAACAACAAAAATGAGAAAATAACCTAAAAAGTTTGCAATACCAAAAGCGACGTCATTGAGTTTTAAGATAAATGCGAAATTAGCGTAGATTATCTGGGAGGGAAGTGAGCTGATATTAGAATACTTACGTTTGCGTAAAATTAGTAAAAAAATCACAAATAACACATCACAAAAATCGTTCGGTTTAATCTTTGAGTTTGACAGCTGACGGCCTGCTGACGCCGACGGAAACGATTTGCAATTTGCAGTGGCGTGTCACATGATTTCTTTGGGGTGGGGAACCGCTCGAATTCGTATGGTCCACGTATTTTCGTACGAGATTACCACATCGAACTTTTAGATCTTTTTTCTAATTTTGACGTGTAGAAAGTGGCATGTTTCACTATAGAAAACGTCATATTATTTCGTTTAAGATTAGGAAATGAACTTATTTATGCTACACAATGCGTCACAATTGTTGTTCGGAAGTGAATGGGTACAATAAAAGTTGGAAAATGACACCTAGTGGCGAGGAAATACCGCTTGAAGCACGAGGGGCCGAGTACTTTAATTACAAACTTGATTTATTTACTTATATAAAATTAATTATTAACGGTCACACGAAGTAACATTATTATCAAAAAAACCAAATTTATAACGGTCCTTTGATAGATTGATTTCAACAATTCAATATCTTATTTATCACTTTGTACTTAGTGTACTGTAAGATTGTGAAAGCTCGAAAATTTAAGTCGAAATAAATTACATTGCAAAAATAAACTTTGAAAAAGGTAGTTCACCGAATAAAAATAGAAATAGGCTGGGAAAAAAGAACTTACCAATAAAAAAACCATCCGTCAAATTAATATCAAATTGTGTTGTAAAATTAATTGTTTGTAATGATGTGAATGCGTAACATAAATTTATAACAACACAAGAAGTAGCATGTAGACTTCAAGAGGTAACAAATAGGTTAAAAACAAGTTTTGGGAATAATGGATCAGGTAAGCAGGTACCAAGATTCTAAGAAAGGGTGAAATACACAGAATGTGACTCATCTTTGGTGCAATAAAGTCCTTTTGTTAAAAGCAAGATGGAAAATTACATGACCTAATTTAACTAAAAACAAGATACGTGGAAATTATTGAATCGCCACTCATTTATCGCACATACATTCTAAACTGAAGAGCTTTGATTAGCGTAATCCCACTCCTGCAAGATAGGTAGCCCGCCCCTGGTTTCGGGGTTTCGAGCCTACAGTTGAATCTCGAAGACAATCACGAAATTAGGTGTCGTGACATACATCAAACGAATCGGTAATTTCCACATATTAAAATAAAATGATCAAAACTTATATGAGTGTAACTTCAGGGACAAGACCAAGTAATCAACATCAATAAACATAAATTAACCAAACATTACACCAAAAACGTAAACAATTACAAACAATAGCATAACGGTATCACACATGTGATTCTGCATTGCGGTTAAACCAAGTAAATTTCAGGAACAAAGATTCAAACACACAAAAAATATAAAATGTGGCATACAAAACACAAATACGATATAAAGAAATGCACCTACATAAAATAACAACAAACATTTATAGACCGACGCGTTCGCGGCCGCCATTCAAGACAAGATGCCTAACGTAACCCACGTTCGTGCTTTTCTAAATGGCGCGGGTAGCTTTTCCCCACCTAGAAATTGCATAGTGGCCAACTCTCAAAAATGTGTGCATCGTCGTAAGTTGTATATACAGGGTGGAGCCTCTCAACTTGCTTACAGTCAATTTATAACACATTTATCACACGTGTGCGTATTTCATTATTTACCACTTCTACATTGAAGTTAAAAGTGAGACTAAACACAATTCAATTTGGTAATGTAGCAAACAATAAAACTTCTAGAAAAATCTAGAAGGCGCACCAGATTTTATAGAAAGAATGAATCATATATCCCTCTTTACTCCGCCGGAACTAATCCTTTATCTACGTGATGGCGCCTTGATGCCCACCTCTTCAAATTGTAACGTCTAGTAAAGCGGACGACGATGTGTTAGAGATACAGTCCTAGTTGACTCTCGGGTGTTTCCATCACTATGATTCGTTGGTGCATCTTCCATTTTCAAATGAGAAGCACGAAAGGGTTAGGACGTCACTATTCCAGCATAGTTGGTGCGGCCATCCGATTGATCAAGGTCACATCTGATCTTTGCCAGCTGTGTAACGCCATGAATTAGTAATAGCGCATTCCAAAAATCCTCCCAACTAGGATTTATCAACAGACCAATCGCGGGACGTTGAAGGCACATTTCAGAATTTGAACTCTACGCCAGTTATTTGTTTGCTCTGTTTTAAGAAGTGTAATTTTACGGGTAGTAATGTAATGATCCAAGGGGTCCCCCAAGCCGGCACTGCAAAATTCACTAACATATGTGTGCGCGTAGTATGTTTTATGCGTTTTGAATTTAATTTAGACGTTAAAAATAGCAACCATAGGTTCTCCCGTGCGTCGTTTCCATAGAAACAATATTCTGTTCTGGACTTCATTTTATTTCGTGACCCGCGTCCCATTTTTAAAATAATGACAGGTTTTATTAAATTGCACAATCATTTATTTCACTTTATCTACCCTTGCGGTTAAAAAGATCACTATAACCATCTCTTACTATTAAAGAGAGGCGTAGCTTACTCATTCAAACCTATTAAAATATGCTTAATAACATAAATTAAATTGAGAGGTTCCACCCTGTATATACAACTTACAACGAAACATACATTTTTGAGAGTTGGCAACCATGCAATTTCTAGGTGGGAAAAAGCTGCCTGCGCCATCTAGAAAGCACGAACGGGGGTTACGTTTAGCATCTTGTCTTGAATGGCGGTCGTGAACGCGTCGCTCCATAAATGTTTGTTGTTATTTTGTGTTATTTAATGCAGGTAGTAATTTTTGCATTTCTTTATATCGTATTTGTGTTTTGTATGCCGCATTTTATATTTTTTGTGTGTTTCAATCTTTGATTTTGAAATTTGCTTGATTTAACCTCAATTCAGAATCACATATTTGATACCGTTATGCTATTGCTTGTAATTGTTTACGTTTTTGGTGCAATGCTTGCTTAATTTATGTTGATTACTTGGTCTTGTCCCTGAAGTAAAATTCATGTAAGTTTTGATAATTTTATTTTAATATGTGGAAATTACCGATTCGTTTGATGTATGTACTGACTTGTTGTTTGTAAGTAACAATTTTCTCCGTGAATGAAGCAGTCACGGGGGTGGTAAAAACTGTAGTCAAATTTGAGCTACGACACCTAATTCCGTGATTGTCTTCGACATTCAACTGTAGGCTCGAAACCCCGAAACCAGGGGCGGGTTACGTATCTTGCGGGAGCGGGATTATGCCAATCAAAGCTCTTCAGTTTAGAATCTATGGGCCAATTGCACCGTCAAAATTAAGTTTCCCTTAAAGTTAAGCATAACTTAAATACCATAGCAACGATTGTCTTAATAATCGTTGCCATAGATTTTAAGTTCGACTTATCTTTAAGCAAGGCTTAATTTTGTTGGTGCAACTGGAGCTAAGTGTTATAAATGAGTGACGCTGACGAATAATTTCCACATATCCATGCAATTTTCCATCTTGCTTTTAACAAAAGAACTTTATTGCACCAAAGATGAGTCACAATTTGATATTAATCTGACGGCTGGTTTTTTATTGGTAATTTCTTTTTTCCCAGCCTGTTTCTATTTTTATTCGGTTAACTACCATTTTCAAAGTTTATTTTTGCAATGTAATTTATTTTGGACTTGGACAATCATAATAATTACGAACTTTTTACAATTTCAGCGTTTTATTTAACGTTCCTTCTGTACTGTGCTTCAGGTCATAGCGTTGTTTACAACTAACGTAAGGGGGTGGTGCCAATTTTCAAATGTAAGCGGGATCTTGTTTAATTTTGGAGGGAATCTTCATTCGGGTGGCCATTTTTAAACGTTGCCGGGTTGACTTTATTTCCGTGTTCTTGTAGTGTGAAGTTAGCGTAGAACCTGGGGGTTAGGTACACTACAACGTTAAAAATAGCCAGCATAGGATCTCCCGTCGTTTCCATAGAAACAATATTATGTTCTGTTCTGAACTTCATTTTAATTTCGTGGCCCGCGTCCCATGTTTCAAAGAATGACAGCGTTAATTAAAATGCCCAATCTTTTATTTCACTTTATCTACCCTTAACAAAATAAATTAAATTATTACCTATGCTTTTTGATTAAAAATTTGAAGTGTATTAATTATAGTAATTAAAAAGTATACACTATTACAAAGATGTCGCTTTAGGCAAAACAAAAAATTCGAAATTAATAATAATAACACCTACCGCAATTGGTCGACTTAGATAGAATTAGACTCTACAATATATATAGGGTGGTCCGTAGGAAACATGTAGTTTTGGATAGCATAAAAAAACACTCTGTATAAAACTGTATCGCGATGGATTATACATAGAAAAGTGCTTTGAGAACGATTTTGCCAAAATCAATAATCTTTAATAATAAGAAAGTTATGGCGGGGCATTAAAGAAATCAACTAAATTCGAAAAACGCCCCCTAGCGGCCAAATGATTAGAGATAGATAGGTGAATTCTGTTTGAGCCAGTCATTCTCTCTTTAAAATTGAGCTCCAGACACCTAGCTCCATTTTTCCTTTCCTGCGTGTCCAATCAGACTACCCTGTACGTGAGATCATGATATAGTTTTACTACGGTTTTAACACAGGCGTCTATAATTACATGGTTGCGGTTTTACTATATAAAGAAAGCAAAAAATCTTTCTCATTTGACATTTTCCCACACTTCTGTCAAATATATAGTAGCTGTAGTATTCATTTAGTGAAGGAAATTCATCATATACAGGGTGCCCATTATGTATGAAATATAGTATATACTCGTAGCTCGGTAAATATCGAATGTATACAAAATTTTTTATATGAGAGTTGCTTATTTCCCATAGCAGCTTTCAGTTCTTTTTATTGAGAAAAAAAAATGAATAACGAAAAACAATTGAATTTTTTTTAAATTGCAGTGCACCTTTTCATTACCTATATATATATATATATATATATATATATATATATATATATATATATATATATATATATATATATATATATATATATATTTGTTTAGCCAGTACCATACACAATACAATTATTCCAATTACATGGCACTGGGATGCTGTACTTAAAACTAAAACTACACAGTAATTACGATCTTATATGACTAATTAATTCATTCAAAGAGCCGTGAAATATATCGATGTCTCTCTCACGGCACTTCTTATTTAAAGCCAACGGGCTCCTCGATAGTGGCGATGACGGAG